AACGTCATCCCGGCGGCTCTCACCCTCTCGAGCACATCGGCAATGTGGGCCAAGTGCTCTTCGAAGGTTCGTGAACAAATCACGATGTCGTCGAGGTAGCACATGCAGTAAGATCACTTTGCTTCCCCGAGGACGCGGTCCATGAGTCTCTTAAAAGTCGCAGGAGCATTGCAAAGACCAAAGGGCATACGAGTGAAATCAAATAACCCTCTGTGGGACGTGAACGCAATCTTGCACCGGTCACCCTCATCCATCCGGACCTGTATGTAACCTTTGGAGGCATATAATGTGGTAAAATACCGCACGGATAGGCGTCCTTATGAGTCACACTGTTCAGGCGGCGGTAGTCTACGCCCAGGCGATTGTTGGTGTTGGTGCCATCTTTCTTAGGCACCAACACAATTGGAAACGCCCAGGCGCTGGACGAACGGCGAACAATGCCAGCTGAGAGCATCTCGTCCAGCAAGCCGTAAATTACCTGCCTCTTGGCCTGGCTGACGGGCCTTGGGTTACACTTCAAAGGAAGCGCGTCGCCAGTTTTGATCGCCGAATCGGTACAGCCGGGTTAATCGGTGAAAATCTCATCGTATTCGCGTAACAATGCCGACAGACGAGCCTTCTGGGTATCATTCAATTGAGTCGCCAGGCGATTAAAGGATGTGGAGCCTCTTCGTGTCGTGCCGCTCGATCCCGATGGGGATTTTGAGCCGACGAGTGCATAGCGCAGGGTCGTGCCCCCGAAGTTTGCACATGACACGGTTTTGACGCTTCAACTGCACAGGCAACAGAAAGCGACGTTGGGCTGATGAAGGACTTTAGCTCGGAAAAAGGTCTGTCGCGATAGCCTTCATTCACAATGTCCACTACGATACCAGCTTTTAGGAGAAAGTCACGACCGAGAATCACAGGAACACTGAGCCCTGGAAGATGAACAAAACGTGCGCGTCTCATTCGGCCTCCCCATCTGACAGTCAACATCGCGGCACCCGCCGACTGGGCCACGCCTTTCGCGAGGGTGAATGTCGTTCGGCTGTCCCGCAAGCGCACCGAGTGCTTCTGCAAGTGGGACAACACCTGTTTGCCAAACAACGAAGTGCTTGCGCCCTTGTCCAGCAACGCCAAGAATTCGCGACCGACAATGGTGACCGAAATAAACGACGCGTGCGCACCAGCAAGACTGCTTGCCCGGTACGCAAAGGGGAGAAGCAAGGGTTCGACCGCTCGTGCTTCACGAACGGCCCGCCCCCCCTTTTCCCTGCCTCACAGGAGGCACAAACGCGGAGCACTCCCTCGCTATGTGCCCTCGTTGACGGCAGCGGAAGCAGCGCACTCCATCGTGGTCTCTTTCCCGAAACAGAGCAGCTTCGAGCTGCCGGGTCGGTTCACCGCATTATCAAAGGAACCGCTCTGACGATCGTCACCACTGGTGATGCGCTGGGTCGGATTTTGTCCCTGCTCGCGCGCGTCGAGTTGCGATGCAGCACCTGGCTGCACGCCTCCCGTACGTGTAGGGATCTAAAGCTCGATCGCTTATCTTCCACGTGTGCCCACATGTAGCTGTAGCCGCAAAGGCAGCTCCGGCGGGCTGTTGCCGCTGAGGGAGGGTTATGGCCCCTCCTCATGCGCAGCGCGGTTTGAGGGCCTCGCTGGCTGGCGGTGGCGGGCGATAGGAACGCGCGGCGAGAATGTCGCCTTGGATGCGCTTCTCCGCAGGGGTGCTTGCGCAAGTAGGCGTTTGGTGTGTAGCGACACCACGGACCAGAGCTAATGGGGGGGTTTCGGCTCCCTCCCACGCCTAGCCGTGCGTGGCTTTGCCGTGTCCGGGGAAAAGGGGATCTTGGGGGTTGAGCCAACGCTGGGTGATTGGACCTTTAAGGCCGCCCGGCAGAGGCAACACACCCCTTTGGCCCCGGCTTCACGTAGACGGCACCCCTGGGCTGACCCACCCAGGGGAAATCGGCAGTCGCCTTTTCCTATCTCTCTCTGCCTACATCTTCGTCTTTATCTCTCACTATCTATCTGTCCTGCCTTCTACTCTCTTCTGTTTACTTCCATTTTTCCTGGCGGCAAGGGTTAACCCTGTGCAAATAGCCTACCTTGGTCTAGGCGCATTGAGTTATGGCAGTGTTGTACGGCTGACGTCTGCAAGCTTTCAGCACCTGCAAACTTGCAGCGTCCCCTTGTTGGGCTCCGTGGTGGGTGGCCGCCAAGGCTGCTGAACAAAAATAAGACCGGCATGCATGGAGCATTCCCTCTTCTGTCTGATCGTACCGGCCTAAAGCGGGTACGCACCGACGACATAAATTTCTTCAACCAGCCAATAGAAACTTTTCCCCACTTCCACGTCATTCACTGTGAAAAAACTGAAAAGCAAGCCAGGACTGTCCCTCCTTTCCTAGTTTCTAGATGTCTTACCGAAACTCTTGGCACAGGATACAAGGTAACCAAAATGGCTAGTGGAGACCTTCTCCTCGAAATCCGTGACAAAGAACAATTTAAAAAACTAGACCGTCTTTCAGATTTCGGTGGCATACCAATAACCATAACACCACATAGATCAATGAACACAACTCGCGGAGTGGTATCTGACATGGACTTGACTGAGACTGAACTTTTAGAGGGGTGGAAGAGCCAAAATGTCACTAATGTACAGAGAATCATCATCAGAAGAGATAATAAGGAAACACCGACAAAACACTTAATACTCACGTTTGCATCCAGTAAACTACCGGAATCTATTCAAACAGGGTACACAAAGACATCTATCAGGCCGTACATACCAAACCCTCGTCGTTGCTTCCAATGCCAGAGGTATGGCCATGGCTCTAAAACCTGTCGTGGTCGCCAGACTTGTGCACAATGTGGAGTCCTAGGCCATGTGTCTGAGAACTGCGAACAACCGCCACACTGTGTAAACTGCGAAGGAAACCTTGCCGCATATACACGCTCCTGCACATACTGGAAAAAAGAAAAAGAAATAATTACGTTGAAGGTGAAGGAGAACATTACATTTAAGGAAGCACAGCGAAGAGTCGCTCTATTCTATGGACCTACGTACGCTGATGCGGCGCGTCAGGGGGCCCCAAGGCGGTTGTAGCCCAGGCTACACCGCCTACTCCCAAACAGAGACCGGAGACTCCAGAGTCCTCGGATCTCAAGGCCTCCCCTCACCAGGCGAGGGCCGAAATTCGAACTAGCAGCCCGCACAGTGCGGGCATCCAGTGCCTCCGAGGAGGCAATGGATACGTCGGTACCCTTGGTGCCGAAAGAGCGGCGTGGCTCTTTGGAGCGCGCCAAGAAAACAAAAAAGCAGATAACAGGGCCTGGTGACGGCCCTGTTAAGTGAACTCAAACTCCCTGTCTAAACAGCCACTCGCTTTTCGTACACACAGCACTATTTTACATTCACCATGAACACTCAAATTATCCAATGGAACGTCAGGGGCCTTCTCAGAAACCTTGACGACATCCAAGAACTCTTAACGAACACTCACCAAAAGTGCTGTGTGTACAAGAAACACACCTTAATTCAAAACACACAAATTTTCTTTGTAAATACGTTATTTTCCGAAAGGACCGTGTTGATGCCATGACATCATCCGGAGGTGTTGCCATCATGGTGAATCAAGGAATTGCATGCACACACTTACAACTCCAAACATCCTTTGAGGCAGTGGCTGTTCGAGCGGTTATTTTTGATAAACTGATCACAATCTGCACTATCTACATTCCTCGTAGCTACCAGCTGCAAAAACGTGATTTTCACTCTTTAATTGATGAACTTCCGGAGCCCTATGTTCTCCTTGGAGACTTTAAATTCAAACAGTCTGTCCGGGGTAATAAACGCAGTCTTCTCGCGATCACATTCATCAACTTCTACTTGCCAGTATCCACTCTTGAGATCTAGTGATGAGAAGAACTTCTCACACCGAAGTCGATCTAATGTGTCGTTGATGTGCGGAAGGGGGTATACATTCCGTTTATTCACAGCATTCAATTTTCGACAGTCGACACAAAACCGTAGCGTGTTATCCTCCTTCTTGACAAACACCACGGGAGACGCCCATGAACTGTTAGAAGGCTGGATAATATCATTTTGAAGCATCTCCCAAACCTGATTCTTTATAACTTCCCTTTTCTTCAGTGAAACATGATAAGAGTGCTAGCATACTGGCCTGATTGTCGCATCCGTTATAATCCTGTGTTTCATAATTCTTGTGCTGCCGTACCTTTGAACTATTGGAGAAACAGCTGCGGAATTTTCGTACTAGGTCATATAGCTGTCGACGTTGAATCGCTGAAAGGTTAGGATTGACAGATAAGACATCGCAGACGCCAGATGTTAGTTTCATATTGGTTGGTATAGTTTCAAGACTGCTTCTTTCTGTCACTTCGCGTAACTCATCAAGAAAGGCTATGGCTGTTCCCTTTGTAATATGTTGGAATTCCCGTGGCAATATAACCTAAATTGGTTGTTGTGACAGTGCATCTGCACAGTTTGATGGTGTAAAAAGGTGTGGATTGGAAAGTCAGTTGTTAGTGTGCACTTGTGCTTGTCTGTTCCTTCGCGTGTGTCCTGTTTAGTGGCGCTGCTCATGATGGCTTTTATGTCTGCGAGCGTTTGCGACAGCTAGCTGCGTCATTCCTTACTGGTCTGTTTGCATGCATCCCACGAAATCATATGCCAGTTAGTTTGATGAAAATAAATGTTTTGTGTCTTTATTAGACGACTTTGAAAGTAAATTTTAATTTTGGGTGATGCAAATATTCTCGTTCCCCTGGAAATTCGCACCTCTGAGATTGTACTATACTTAAATTTTTCATTTTTTTCTATTACAGTGCATAGATTTATGGCTGTTTTGTGTGGTCCTCTCAAAGTTGTAAAACTGGTGTACCTGAAGAGTTTCTAAGCATTTTTTCCCACCTATACTGTAGCGTCACAGCGTCGAGTTGTCATGAGTTGTCATGTCGTGTTTAGTTGATTTTACACCAACGTGCAGGTGTTGGCTGGGGAGCTGGTGCCGTTCCTCTGCAGTGGAAGCCACGTGGTGCAAAAGGACTGCCACCCCAATGCCATTGGCGTTTTTGTTGAAGCCTTGGCACAATGCAACCCACCTGTGGCCATCAAACCAGCACTCATCAAGGTGGGTTTGAGTATAGTGAGAAAAAATTGCATCCTTGTCTGTTAGAATTATTTGTGTTTAAAAGGGCCAGATTGTTCAATGTTTACTGAAGAGAGGTTCGTCCCATGTACGGCTGACGCAGAAGCCTAGCCAATGTTTCAGCCCCACACAGTCGTACCATGCACGATTAATGTCCCCTTCCCGTATTCATCACAGCTACACGGGTTCGTGCAAATAAGGCAACAAGCTAGGTCAACAAAATGACACTTTATTGCTACGTTAGCAATAACACGTAAATGTCGCATAGAGGGACTGTCGGCTCTGAGAAGATAACAAAGCGTAGGCTTACACCTCTGGTCAAGCTGGCGTTTGCCGAAGACAATGGCAACCGCAGTGCTGCTGGAGAATTCAGCATGGACCGAGCCTACATCATCGGGTGGAGGAAGCAGCAGTAGCAAACTCACCGAGCCGCCGTGACTCATAAGAAATTCATGGGACTGCGCAAGGGCTGACAACCCGAACTCGAAGAGGAAGTTTGCAAGTTTGTTCGCAGCGAAAGAAACAGAGGCGATGCTAGCCGTCGCTGTGTGGAACACATGATGCGAAGAAATGCATTTTCTTTGAGACTCCAGACCATGATATTGCCACAGAGACTACTTACACTATCTAATATTATGAAGAATCAGCATCCACAGTCTTCTGCACACCCGTGCTTGTGGCCGCATACCTCTCGTTCACAGGCACGAGTCAGTGTGGGTTGGACCTGCGAGGAAGAAGGCGCGTTTGCGAATGAACAGTTCTTGTTTTGGAATGCTCTAGCGGACTCTTTCATTTTTCGCACATAGCTTTCAGGGCACTTGTTCGCCCATAATAAACTAGTTTTTGGTGTTTCTTCTCTTGAATCCGTTACAATTTCGGAACGCTCTAGCGGACTCTTCCATTTTTCGCACATAGCTTTCAGGGCACTTGTTCGCCCATAATAAACTAGTTTTTGGTGTTTCTTCTCTTGAATCCGTTACAATATGCCAAACTCTGCCAAGCGATTTCACTGACAAACTCCTTGCTAAGCAACATCTGCAGGATCTTAACAGTCTCAACAGCTACGATTTTGGCCAGATCATCAACGCTGATGAATTGCCAGTTTTTTTTTTTTCTGACATGACGAAAGCAAGCACCGTTAACATGGTAGAAGCCTGGGAATCAAGCGTGAGGACGACAGGGTACGAGAAGCAGCATGTCACAGTGATGCTGTGCACCACAGCTGATGGTGATAAGCTTCCGCCCTACATACTTCTGAAGAGGAAAAACATGCTCAAGAATGAGTTCTTCAAAGGCAATCCAAGGAGTCCGCAGTGGCTATGCACACCACGCACACAAAAGAGAAATGCTGCACATGCGGCGGCACGTAGGCGACACGACAGCGGAAGTAACGATGTGCTCGCGAGGCGATGACCATCTGTGAGGGCAACAGCTAAAAGCACAAGCTGTGGTTGGCTGATCAAAACTCACAAGACAGCTACAAAAAAACTAAAGAAAAGGAGGAGAACGGCGGCTCTTTCGTTCCTGCTGTCCAACCTGAGGGGTACGCAGAGAAAGCATGAGAGAGAAAAAGGGAAATGAAAAAGAAAAAAATGTTCCACAAGTTAGAGATTGTGCAGTCTGAGCCCTCTCGCTCTTACCCTTTTTCAAGCGCTTCGGGTTTTGGTGAAGGCTTGGTACTACGCGGAGGTCCCTATACCTGAAAATTTCATATATGTGGGTTCGATATAACCGTGTTTGACTGAACTTTGCTGATGTGTCTTTGACAATACTGATGTGTCGGAGAAGTGGTTAGCACTTTTCCAACACATCATACTTGTGCCTTGCTTCCTTGCTTCAAGGTTGCTTTCCAGCTCTGCGTAGAAGATTGCGTGCCGCTTGAAAGCAGTGCTGTACTATTGCTTATGTCGCAGTGGCATCTTGGCGTCCATTGGGCATCTTCGCAAATCGTGCACGCCACTGTTCGCAAGTGAGGCGAAATGCAGAAACTGCGAACAGGTATGAGCGCAAAAAGGTGGGAAGATGCTGGTGGGCCTAATGTGTAGAGCGCATGTGACTTGTCATGTGGTTGAGTTGTCCGTGAAGTGTTGCTAGTCCACGCAGTGCTGATAGCTTTTTCATGGAATGCTCGTGGCGCTTTACGGGAAATCTGAACTTTTGATTTGCCTAGTCAGCAAACACTGTTAGGACACAGTATCCACTAAAGGGAGAAACGTATGCCTCGTCGTCTGTAAACAATGAGTGTCACATTTTTTTTGCGAGTGACAGATGCATGTCAAGTTTTTTGCGACAGATAAACGCATGTCGCATTATTAGCAAAGGATAAAAAAATGTCGCATGTCTTAGCAAGCAAAATTCACTGGCAGTATTGTTGGCAATCTCGCCTGACAGAAGCGCCAATGCGATGGCACTACTATTGAAACCGTGCTGCTGTCAGCGATGCATCATTAAAAAATTCTGTATCTCCGACGCACCGTCGCTGACATCTTGAATTCCTTGCACCTGTCTCTTCCACGAAATATATTTTACTGCATATATGTCGATGATGTACAGATTAGTCTGAAATCGTGCAACATTTCAGTGCGCCAACATCAAGTTCAGCTAGGGTTGAACAAGGTATCTCAATGGGCCGATGAGAATGGTTTTATACTCTACGCACAAAGGAGCACTTGCGTCTTGTTCTGCCGAGCGAGGGGCCTCCATCCTGACCCCGACATTTACCTGCATGGTCAACCTCTGTCAGTGAAAACCAAGCACAAGTCTTTTGGACTAATATTAGACACAAAAGTAACCTTCATCCCATGCATCAAGTATACACATGACCTGAGTTTTTCACGGATGCCTCAAAGTCCAACACTTCTGTGTCATATGCAGCGATTAGCCAATCCTTTTCCTAGGCCGGCGTTCTTCATCTGGATGCAAGCATTTTCATAAGAGAAGCTTATGCAATACTGACGCTCGTAAAACACATCAAACAGATAAAAATACAAAAGGTGGTAATATACACAGATTCCCTAGGTGTGGTTAAAGCCCTGAAAACTCCTAAAAAACACAAAAACCTCGTGATGGTGTCTATTTACTCACTTCTGTGCACACTGTACTCATCAAAACAGCATGTGGGTGATTCCACGAGAGATCGGCACGGGTCCAGAAGTTGATATTTTAGATTTCATTCAGTATTTTATATTCCATGCACCTCTCACCAAGTAGCCCGAAAGCAGAACATGAGTAAGAGAAAAACAGACAAAAAAAACAAAAGCACAGAAAAACGGCAAAGAAAAATCTATAAAAAAACGAAACAGAAAGATAAAGATAATATAACTACTTGCGCGCACCGAAACTTCGAGGAACCCGAGTTCCTTCTCGGACAGTTCTGCTCTTTGTGCCATATGGTTTTTATCACATGGTTACTGTCTCCTCTATATATTTTCGTGCTCTGCGCAATAAACTCAGTTGGAAGTTAGCGCTTGTGTTTTTCGTGTCCTTCTTGTCTCTGTGTCGTCGTCTTGTTCTCGCGCTATAACTATTGTCTTGTTAGGGAAAACCCTGTACGCGTAGGCCTATGGCAAGTGCGGCTCAGTGTGGTACGACCACTTCAAGCACTAGGCACCGCTGTGGGCTCAGCGTACGGTACCGAAGCTAGCACTCAAGTAAACACGCCTGCCGAGGTGCCACAGGCCACCCCAGGCAGGCTACAGTGCGGCAATTTCCAAAGAGGACGAGGACGAAGGAAAACACGTGCTTACCCGGTGCCGACCACGGAGGAAAGAGCAGCTCCCTCGGCGCGCACGTACCGCGTGCTGCGCCCGCACGTGGCGCCATCTATCGCCACGTGCTGTTCGTTACCAGAGCAGAAAGAGCAAAAGGGTGTGGCCGTGCTTCGGAATGCCCGCGAAATAGTCGCGGGTGCGCCTCAGATCCCCACAAAGCTCAGGGGGTATTGGCAGAGCATGTAGGATACACACACACAATAAACTCCATGCTATTAAGTCGCAACTAGGTAATTGGTCACCACTATCGAAATCACAACACACAGAAGTAACACTTACGAGACAAAGAACAGGACATTCACACTCTGCACATTCATGTCTTCTGTCCACCGGCAATCCACCATTATGCGAGAGATGTGGAGAACCACTTATGGTTCTCTACATTCTCTTCCAGTGCAATGAATTAGATGCTCTAAGAAAAAAAGGACTTTTTACTGCCCTACCGACAGCAGCTCCCACTACACCTTGGGATGCTCATTGGTAGGGATCCACTTTTTAAACTGCAATCTTTTTTCATGTTTTTAATAGATGTTCATAGCTTTCACTCAAGGCGATCCGTAGCACGACCGCTGTACCATGGTCATGGTTGCGATGACTACATATCCGTCATGGTTTTGTTATCATGACATCTTGCCATCCACTTTCACTGCTGATATTTCACACCACTGTCATGATTTTATTAAAGACGATAGTTTTTCTTGGGGACCTTCGACGCAAAAATTTTAGTCTGCTTGTCTGTCTGTCTGCAAACTTGCCTGTTTGTCCGCTTTTACCGGCACCGGGTATTTGAAACGGTCGACCTCATCCGCAGCGCCCACCAATGTTGCTCAAGATTTAGCGTTCATACTTATGTAATTGTCAATTAAAAAGCAATTATTGCGCATGTCTGGGGCACTATAACAACACCTATATATTCTGCATGTGCATCTTTTACTAGAAAAGGCATACAAAAGCAATTTTGAGGACTGTAGCGCTTATCACGGTGCGCTGACCATGCAACGTTTGTACGAAAAGGCGAGTGTTTCCAACGCTTTGCTAAGACGAGACGGTGGTGACACCTACCCGTCGCCTTGCATTCTACACCTTATCACCTGAGACGGGCGCGCCACGCGCTTCATTTTCCAAGAAAACTGCCAGATGGCTCTCATGTGTCACGTGCTACGTGACTTGATGCTCTCATTCGCCTTTGCTGCGCGCTCGAGGCACTAACGC